GTGTTCTTGAATATTTATATTTGACTTCATAATTATTTATATTTTATTTAATTTTAAAGTTAATTGAGCAACACCATATGATAAAATCAATAAAAAAAAATTAGATTTTTTTTTACTCTAATTATAAAAAAAATCCAATCAAGTTAATTAGAGTTTATATCTAAGAGTGACTTTTCATAAGTATGAATCTATAATTAGATATTAATATAGTAATATTATATTTTACATTTATAAAGATTTGAGTTATTAAAAATCTGCCAAAACTAAACTTTTGGGGCTCTTGTATGGGCTTATGTATTGCTTCAATGCAACTCTTTTAAAAGCCTTAATTTAAATGTTATCATTAGTAATAGAACAATGGTTCATAAAATTGAGATTTTAGCTTATAGTTGTAACATGGAGGGGGAATTTAGGGCACAAAACATCTTGAAATTTATAAGGGATGGTTAGAGGATATGATCTTAAAATTTTGGATAGAATGTAATAAAATTAGGGTTAATTAATGGAGGTTGCACCAATATTAGGACGAAGTACATAGTTTTAACTGGTTTTGACTAGTCATGAAATGTATAATTAGAGAATCGGTCTGCTTGTCTCTTTGAGGGCTTGAAAGGTTTTGATGAGAGGTCTGATTTGGAGTTTGTGTATGGAGGAGAATCAAATTAGGTTAATGTTGTCCTAGTTTTTGCTGGCCACCTGCAAGAGGCTTGGGACTTTTTTTCGTATTATAGAAGGTAGAGAAAACCTATAGAAAGAGGCTAGGAATATTGGAGGAATAGGAGACGTTAAGGATCAAGATCAATATAAGATTCTCAACACCAACTCCAAAAGAGATGTACGCTATATTTTAGGTTTTTTACATTATAATCATGAGCAGATCCACATTTTTTGAATGAGAAGAAACGTTCAAACTATGCTGTAGGCTATGATTGATTAGCTAATTTTTTCTAAATCTAATATCGATTCATTGGATCCAGATTGAAATCTAATTTTAAGGTTATTTGGATTAATTTGAACATCAGGTCAAATCAGATTCAAATAAATATTTGAATTTGAGACAATTTCATTGATAATAAATTTCAACAAAAAAAATATAATTTCATCTAAAATAAATTTTAAATATATTCTTTAAAAAATAATAAACATATTATTTAGTTTTGAATATTTATTAAATCTACCTTATATTTATTTGTTAATTTATTTTAGCGCAGCATAAAATGCCAAACAAGCTACTTCTGCGATAAAGATCTTATCCACCCAAGAAATAAAGTACTAAAAAAATCCAGCCCCCTGATACAGAAACCGCTTCCTTCTCCCCACGGCGGCCAATCAGCAATACAAAATCCCACCTTTCTTCAACCTATAAACTCTCAACGATCTCATCGTCTCCCCCTCGGTTCCAAAACATCAACTTTCCTTTGCATCAATGGGGCGTTCCATCGTGGTTGCAGTCGACGGAGGGGAAGAGAGCATCCACGCCCTCACCTGGTGCCTGCAGAACATCGTCGTGGTTGGAACAACGGCCGACGAAGCCTCGTCCGATAGCGGCGGAGGTGTAACGGGCGACACTGTTGTGCTCCTCTACGCTCGGCCGTCGCCCTCTGTCTACCCGGCGATGGACGGATCTGGTGAGCAGAATCACTCAATCCAATTACTCTGAAATTAGGGTTCAGGAAATGGCATTTATAATAGTTTCCTTCAATGATGGGCTGCAGGGTATTTGTTTTCGTCCGATATTATTGCAAGTATGGATAATTATGCTAAGCATTTGGCCGATACTGTTACCCAAAAGGCCAAGATGGTTTGCTCCAGTTACCCGAATGTAACTTCTTTCCTTGCATTCTTTAGTTACCTTTCAATCTGATTATATTCTTTGATTTTCTTGTAAGTATTATGACTAATTATTCTGTGCAGAGAGAACCATCCATATTTGTTATGTTTTAACTAACTTTTTGCTGCTCTTTTGCAAATTGTTACACTTTTGATTCTCTTTTGCAAAAGGACAGTAAAGGTGCAGTAAAAAAACATTCATAATAATTGAATATTTGTTGTCCTTTTAATGTCCTTTTGTAAAGCGAAACAAATCCGAACAGTTCTCTCCGTTCGGTGTCCGCACAGAATGATCTCTCATTATACGCTTATGTCGATAATAATAAGCCATTTTTGGTTTTTAATAGCTGAAGGTGGAGATCAAGGTGCAGAATGGTGATCCAAGGGATGTTATCTGTGAGATGGTGGAGAAACTTGGAGCTGATATGTTGGTTATGGGAAGTCATGGCTATGGCCCTCTGAAAAGGTTCTATGGCAGAAAATCTAAATCTTTGATCTGTTACAAACTTGTAATGATTTATTCAATTCAAATTTGTTTAAAAAATTGTGTTCATTGTCATTTAAATTGTGAATTTCGCAGGGCTTTCATTGGGAGTGTGAGCTCCTACTGTGCACAGAATGTGAAGTGTCCTGTCCTGATTGTCAAGAAGCCCAAGAACTAGGGATTGTACTGGATATGGTAATGAGAATGATGTGTTGTAGATATCTGAGTATCAGTTGAGTGTAAGTTCCAAGTTTGGAGATACAATTTCTTGGCGTTTGGCAATATAAATAATATCTGTGGTGTCTTCAGTCATCATGTTTATTGTTATTGATTTTAGGTTTACTTTCTTCCAGTGATAGATTAATAAGACTGCATTTGGGACGACTTTTAAATTGCTTCTTAAAGCAGCTTTTAAGTATGAAAATTAAATTTTTTTAAACTAGAAAGCTGCTTCAAGAAGTAGTAAAAAAGCCGTTCCAAATGAAGCCTAATACTTTCTAGTAAAAAATTGAAATATTTTTATTAGAAAGCAGCTTTAAGAAGTAGTAAGAAAGCAGCCTCAAACGAAGCCTAAGCTTATTGATGGCACAGTGGCACCACTACAAATGGTTCTTTTGAGGTATCATGTGCTAAATGAACCAGATCATTTCTGATTCATATTGGTCTAAAATGCTTCTTTGATTAAGGGCATTTGGATTCATAAGTCAATTGGACTTCCTTCACTAAATCAAATTGGGCAAGGTCAACTAAGTTCAATCTTATTTTCCCTTGGGCTAAGCATGTTTTTCCCTTGCTTAAGGTTATCATAGAAAAAAAAAAGATCATAATGATCAATTGATTCTTTATAAAAAATTAAAATAGTTCTCAACTATATTAAATGAATATTTTGATCCCTAAACTCGTTAAAGAGGAATCAAAATAGTACCATTACGGGACTATTTTAGCTCCTCTTTAAAAACATAATCAAATTAATTTTGTAAACATATAAGTTTTAGCTCGATTGCAGCTCAATTCACTTCTAAGACAATCATATTGAGCTGATAAAAATCAAAGTTGGAAGAAAAAATAGGCTAATGTGGATGATATTACAAATGATTATTTAATTTTCAAGTATTTAATGTTGCATATTATCACATCTCGCTCCTATAGAGCACTTCATAAAAATGAAATGAGATAGGTGGAACTTCTAATATTTAGAAATGATTATCATAATAACTCATATTAAAATTTCCTTACTATTGTTATCAATATTATTATTTCATGGACTCAACATTCATTACATCAAAACCGATGGAGGAGTGTCAAGAGTCGTGTATGACGTATTTTAGGGCAGAACAACGAATAATAGCAAGGTTATACCGAACAATGCATATCTAGGACCGTTCGATCAAGACTTAAAGGATTAATTTGAGTTTTTAAGAACCGCCCGATTCTTCAAAAACTACATGGTTCGGCAGTTTCCCGGTTCAACCGAATTCTTGACCGGTTCTTAATCCAGCCGGTTATTCCATCTAACCGGGCCACCGGTCGAACCGGCCGGTCCAATGCAGCTTTAAAAACCTATTTAATTGACTCAACATTCATTACATCAAAAATAAAAAGATATAAAACATACAAAATCAAATAAGGTTCCGTTTGAGAAAATTTTGGTAATGTTTTCAAAAGTTATTTTTCAGTACAAAAAAATTTTTAAACAATAATTTTTTTACTAAAAATTTGCTTTAGAAAACTATAAAAATGTTGTCATAAACAAAGCCTAAATCTTACTTAATTCATTTTACTATATGTTCATTCCATCATGCAAGCTCTTTAGAAACTTATGAGAAGTTTTCAATGATCCTAATATTTATTTCAATAATTTAATTACTCATTTTGGTGCCATAGCAATTTTTACTAAATGATTAAAATTCTTGTAATATTTTAAATACTTATTTTAATAGGCAATTATCTACTTTACCTTAGAATAGACCACAATATAATTATAAAATGAGATTTTTACATACATAGCACTAAAAACTCACTTATTCACATATCTAACACCTAACTCCTATTTATTCTTATATCATCCTAATCTATAAATAATTATAATAATAATACTAACTCCTTCTAATCTCTCTCTCTCTTCAAATCCTATCATATTTTTCTTTGCATCATCAACTTCTTTAGCTTCCTTAATGCTAAGGCTACATAAGCATCTCCCTTGCCTTTTGCACAAAATTCAATTACAACTTTCTTGTCACATGCAACAACTCTTCCTCTTTCAAATTAATTGTCTGAAGCTACTCCAATGATATCAAACTCTCTTTCATCCAGAGGCGTAACCGCGTAAGAGCCGATCTGGCTGGAGCCTCACTTGTTAACGAGTTCATGAGTCGAACTTATCGCGCTACCGATTCGAACTAGTATATCAAATGAGCTCAAGCTCAGCCTGATTCGGCTTGAAGGCTTGTTGAGCTGCTCGATAAACTTAAAGTATATTTAAAAATTAATTTAAATTAGCTTTATATAATATATTTTAATAATTTTAAATTATTTCTATATTAAAAAATAAAAAAATAATAATTCAAAACTAAGCAATCAAACTTAACAATCGAGTCAGAAGCAATCGAGCCGAGCTTGAGCCTATACATTTTTTAACGAGTTGAGCTCTGACTCGAGTTTAATAAAAATTAAACTAACTTAACTTGATTAGTCAAATACTCGACTTAACTCAACTAATTTACACCTCTACCTTCATCTATTTGAAGGGCAACACATAAGTTTGTCCATTAACAATAGGTGATATTTATATTATTATTTAAAAATTAAAATGATAAGTTGATAAATACAAATATTATATATATTGAATATTATATTGAATATTGATAGTGAAAATTCTGTAAATCCAGAAGCTCTAATCTTTGGATCACATTCTAGATTTTCTTTCACTCCTCAATTCTATTATTTATTCTTCATTCTCATCCAGATTACTATTCGCCTGCTTGGAATATCATAAATTTGAATTCAACGGATATTATAATTTTTTTTTTGGGAGAACAAAAATCTTATTTTTATGTTGAACAAAGCTGCGGAATTGACTGTTGTAACCAGGAGGCAATGGCCGCTTCGAGCACACAGTCTATTTCTTACAACACGGTTCTTCCCTGGATTGGCCGCCACTCGCAATCCGTGCATTTGGCCGTGGGGCCTAAGGCGGTGGCAAACGCGGAAATTCAGCAGAATCCAAGTGCGATCGAACCTCTCGCCATCTTTTTCCCAACCTCTATCCTGCGCGACTGGGCGGGTGCCAAAGACCAGATCCGAGAAATTCCGGCGTGGTTGCGGGAGGTTTTCGCGGCTACTCGAGGGACTGACTGTGGATCGGAGCCGGGCTCTATTGTGAAAGTCTGGGAAGATGTTTCTTATAGACTGGTTTTATGGAGTGCTCGCGTCCCTGGGCTTGTGGCAGAAGGAGGCCAAAATCTTGTTTTTAGGGCTCGACAACGCTGGAAAGACGACGCTTCTGCAAATGCTAAAGGATGAGGTACCCTTTCTTCTTTATCTTGCTTCAATTTTCATCTGGACATCGGTTTCTTTGCGTTTTGTTAGGGAATCAAATGATTTCTGTATGGTTTTATCAATTTCCTGAAGTTTGTTGTACTTTTGATTTGCGCGCAGAGATTGGTTCAGCATCAACCAACGCAGCATCCAACATCGGAGGAGCTTAGCATTGGGAAGATTAAGTTTAAGGCGTTTGATCTGGGCGGGCACTTGATCGCTCGCCGAGTCTGGAAGGATTATTACGCCAAGGTTTGGCTTTTCTTTCCTTTGGTCTGGTATTTGATTTATTATTTCTTTTACGTTAAAGGAAACAGGGAAATCAATCGAAATCTTTCATTTGGATCTTGTAAGTTCTGTACTCGAGTTATTTAATTTGTTAAGAGCAACTGGATTGTGCTTTGGTTATTTATGAAGAAAAAATTTTCGGATTATCACTAGATTCGAATTCCCTCTACTTACAAGAAAAAAATCTCAATTTCTCATCAATCAAACAAGAAAAAAGTAGAATTTTTTTTTTTCCAGTGATATTCTCCCAAACCAAACAAATGAGTCAAAAAAAAAAAAAAAATTCAATTCAATTCCTTTATCATTCTCATTAGCAGTTTATTTTCATTTTTAGTCTTGTAATTCTTTCACCCAATGAAGCCATGAGAATGGGAATGACTACTTCAAATAGGACAACACAACACATCATTATGAAACAAAACTCATTTGATAAATAGTGGCTTATTTACACATATAGAAAGAAGGGACTGTCATTTCAAGGAGTTGCACCTAATCCCTCATGTTTTTATTCTCAGAAATGCTTAAAGAGATTCTCTTTACATCTCCAATACATGTGTTCAAGTGAAAGTATCGCTCGTCGAGTATTTCGTTGTAAGCGAGCCATGAAAGTTAAATTGATTAGATATTTAGTAAGTATCTATTGTATAACCTCCTTCCCCCCATTAAGAAGGTGAAACAAAAGAAAAGAAGCATGAGTCAAATGGAAATTAGTGCAATTTCTTAGCTTTTTATTGCATTTATCTTCTTAACTTACTACTTTCTTCATGTGAGTGGTGACCCAGTCTTGAGGGATTACCTAAAGATGATATGCTTGGATTTGCTTTAGTTTTGGGTTTTCCTTCTTTAATTTATTTACTTTATGGATTAAATTATCGTTTTTTTTTGTATTCCTACACATTAGACTAGGATGTGGATCCTTTGAAAATGAAATTCAATCTTCAAATTACTGGAATCTGTTGGGAGTTGTAAATGATGTAAGTTTTTGAGATTCTGACTTCATTTGGGATGGCTTTTTTACTGTTTCTTAAAGCAGTTTTCTAGTATAAAAATTTTAATTTTTGTGCTTAAAAGCTACTTTAAGAAGCAATAAAAAAGCCGTCCCAAACCAAACTTTTTGCTGTTTTAAATTACTAAACAAATGTGCCGCTCCATATGCAGAAGCTAAAGGTTTATAGTGCAAATCTAGTGCAGTTGATTAATGTTCAATTGATTTAAGTAATAACGGTTTCCAAACACATTTATTCTTACTTGTTCTAGCTTGTCAATGGAGGTTTTATAGCATTGTTGTGAAAACTCATTTATCCATTAGAATTCGGGCAATGTTCCATGGTTGATATTAGACCAGATTTGCGACCACATGTAAGATTTGAGCGTAATGGATATCCATAGATGATATTATATCAAAATTGTGGTCACATATAAGATTTGAGCAAAATATGGATTAACACAACATCAAGAAGTGTTTGTTATCTCCGAAATTAGGAGTCAAACTTCAATCTTTATGGTCTGGTAGGATCCAACATCAATAGGTCAAGCCAAAAGTTAGGTCCAAAGTCAAGTTCAAAATTAGACCCAAAGTCAGACTCTAGATAAAGCTCAAAGTCTAAATGGGTGCATATGTGTAGAAGGCTTTTCATGATTGAGCTACATTGAATTCAAGAGGAGCTATATTCATGTCCACAAAGCAAAGGCTGACCAGTATAAGAGAAGACAAGGGGATGATTTCAAATACAATAAGCTTCATTTGAAGTTCACTAATAAGATCATCATTGAAAGATCCCTTATTGAACCCACAAACGAAGGTATGCCATGATAGAAAAAAAGGCAACTTATTATTAGAGAAGCCAATAGCTTGTTCAATATTTCTCCTTCTAACAGTGGGAGGGCATTGGAGGATAGCAATCCACTTTATCCATGTTGATAAGCTTGCGAGAAACATTCATAAGACTGCAAGAATTCCTAAATTTTCTTTGAAGTAGCTTTCTCCACCATTTTAAAAAAAATAATAACTTCATCAGCAAAAGCCAAGTCTTTTATACAACAACAATAACATCAAGCCGTTGTCCCACTATGTGGGGTCGGCTACATAAATCCTTTTTTGCCACACAATTTTTTAAAGGATTCATGCCATGATTATTCGACAAGTTTTACGCTGACTGTCGACTACCTAACACAATCCTCAACTTTTCTCATCCATAACTTGGGACCTGGCAATGGAAGTGTTAAAAGCAAAGTCTTTTATAGATATAAAGAAACCATTATTTTCACCAATAAACAAAGCTGAAAACCAAAAATTAGAATGAGAACTTTTTGCTACTTTTCTTCATCTTGTTTGCAGGTGGACGCTGTCGTTTTCCTGGTAGATGCTGCAGACAAAGAGAGATTTGCAGAATCGAAGAAGGAGCTGGACGCGCTGCTCTCAGATGATTTGCTAGCAAATGTACCATTCCTGATCCTGGGGAACAAGATTGACCTTGTATATGCAGCATCAGAGGAGGAGCTCCGCTTCCACCTCGGTCTCAGCAACTTCACTACAGGCAAAGGCAAGGTCAACCTCGTGGACACCAATGTCCGACCACTAGAGGTGTTCATGTGCAGCATTGTACGCAAGATGGGTTATGGTGATGGCTTCAAGTGGATATCACAGTACATCAAGTAGAAGTGGCTGATGCTGCTTCTGCTCTGAAATCACTTTTGCTTGTGATGATTCTCCTGCTCCTAAGTCGATTGTTAAGCCAGGTATTTTTATTTGCATTCTTACCTACTCTTCTATTAGCTCATTTGTTCCATACCCTTTTGTCATCTGGTCTTGAAAATAAAGACATGGTTAAATATTTGGTTTAGCAGCCCTTGCTTGGCTCAGGAGGAAGCTTTGTAAAGTAGTGTTCGTTTGGAATGTTATAGCGATATGTTTGTATTTATATGTTTATAGTATTGTAATGTTATATCAGTATTTGCTGCACTATCACTGTTCAATGGCTGTCTTTACAAATGCTTGAAGTTGTGGAAGTTATCTTGTATTAAAAAGTTGCATCATAAAGCAATAAAAAAATTGTTTGACAAAGCATAAGTTTGAGGTTTCGTTTGGGATGGCTTTCTTACTGCTTCTTAAAGCAGGTTTCTAATGCAAAAAATTAATTTTTGTACTAAAAAACTGTTTTAAGAAGCAACAAGAAAACCGTCTCAAATGATGAATAGTTAAAGGTTTCGTTTGGGATGACTTTTTCATTGCTTGTTAAAGCGGCTTTCTGTTTTAGGAAGCAGTAAGAAAGTCTTCCCTAAACGAAGCTTAAAATTACTTCATGTATGTGAGACCTCCTCATACCAAAATGTAATTGGTGCCAATCCTTTGAATTGCCTTATATATAAACTTCATCCATTCAATCCTAAGCCTTCTTAAGCTCCTACATGGTCTCCTGAATCCTGATAAAGGCCTATTCAAGTAGGAAGAGTGTGGTGTTTGGGTGGCCGACAACAAGCCAAGAAATCTGAGCAATGGTCTTTATTAGGCTCTAATGAAGCTTTCTAACCCTGCTTAGTCAACTAATCACCACCTTGATAGAGGTGAACACTCAAGAGTCAAGACCCTAAGCCCTCTCAAGCACGACTTGGAGCACATACATCGCACGACCATTATTCAATAAATAAGAAAATAAAATGAAATGAAATTCTATAAAATTATATTTAATTCAATTTTTAACATTATTTTTTCTACATATATATAAAATTACGTGCATTCGTGTTATTATTATTTGTATAAATTGAACTATATTTTTTCAAAATAAGAATACTTTTTCATATTTTTTTATAACTTTAATTACGAAAGTAAAAAATAATTTGTGATCAATTCAAGTAAATTGAAAAAAGCCATATTTTTTTTCCTTACAATCAATTTCCATATGATGAAATTTAATTTGATTCATGAAATGTAGATAAAAGCACATTTAATAGAATTAAATCCAATAAATTTAATATTCATAAATTTCTTCTATTTTGTGAATAGAGATATTTTATATTTTCTTAATTTATTAATCTTTTAAAATAAAATTTAACTAATATTCCTAAATTATGTAAGTTTAACTTTTCAATGCAAATGTTTCTTTATGGCCTTCATATCAAATGTTCTGTAATGAACTGAAATTTCTTCTTTTTCTTTAGCTCTTTAAGGTTAAATATTCAACCAAGTATTTAATGCTTTTTTAATATAATTTTCTATGATAAAATAATTCATGGCATAATTTGTTTTGGTTATTTTATACTTTCTTTTATGATGTTTATATTCATTTGATGTACCAATAATTTATTAAAGTATCTAATAGCATTCAATTATAATCTATATGATTTATAATTTTTTTTTTATAAGTTAAAAAATATTTTACAAAACTTTTATGCAATTTAGTAATATTGGTCTTATCTCTCTATATAAATATCTTTATTTCAAGATGGCTGATATATCCTCAAAAATTAATCATGGTTGGGCACAAATCTCAAGGTAAAATCAAGTTGGAAACTTTTTGGTTTGGTTGCCGCTAGTTGTTCTTCTGTTATTGTTTGTTGTTTTGTTGGGTTTTGGCTATGGCTGTTGTTTTTCTCTTGTAGCTATTGGGTACCTTGGTTGTCCTAGCCTCCTAGGCCAGTGGCTTTTCTTTTGATGTTTTGTCTTAGTTGGCTGGCGGTTTTGTGGGTTGTGATTGTGTTCTTGTACATTCCTGCTTTGGTTGTTTTTGGTTGGTTTGGTTGTTGATGTGTTTTGCTGGCTCTTCTTCCCTTGTCCAAGTTTTTTCCTGTTTTGTTTTCTCATTCTTTCTCAAGATTTTTTGTAGGTTTTTTATGCTTGGTGGCTTTTTGGTTGCTTCTAGTCGGGTTGAGGCATTTTGGATGGCTATTTGCGATAGTTCTTCTAGCTCTTTCGGAAGTGTCTTTTTTGGGTAGCACTCTCGTTGGTTTAGCTTGCCTCTCTTTCTTTTTGTTTGTTTCTTGTATTGGATTGAATCATTCGCTCATATATTTTACTTTAAATGTTGTATTTTTATAGAGCTTTTGATCCATTAAAGGCTTTTGACCTTCTTTTTAAATTAATGCATAGGCCCATATGTGAGTTTTATCAAAAAAAAAAAAAAAGCTCTATCACTAACCATGAAGATAATGAAATAAGCTCTAAGTAAGCTTGAATAAAATATAACTAGAAGAATTATTTCAAATACTTAATAAAAAAAAAAACAAGATTTAAAAATGCTATGACCAGTAGAAACTGGTGATCATTAGGGAGGTTTCACGCATGCATGGCCTGCGAGAAAGGGATGGCACATGAAGGATTAGAAGAAGAGGGTAATCCTTTAACATGAAAGAGCAAAAAAGATATCAATCATGCTTGAGATGAACACCATACGACATATGAGAAGATACACACTTCATAAATATATGATTTTTTTAATATTATCGTAACATGGATTGTGATATTAAGGTTTCGTTTAAGACGACTTTCTTACTGCTTTTTAAAGCAGTTTTTTAGTATAAAAATTTTAATTTTATGCTTGATGACATCTTTAAAAAATAATAAAAAAATCATTCCAAACAAAACTTAAATATCTTTGCTATGTAAATTATTCATTTATCAACAAATATGATGTCTATGAAACTACCATATTTTAATGTCATGCATAGCATTCTACATATTTTAATATGATAATGGTATGTTATAAGATCTCAAATATTTAAATGGAGTTGATTGGTAGTTCCTCTAATGAGCAGCATGATGAGTTATCCACCATGAAAGACATCAAACATGTCGCAACTATCATCATTGTATCACCATTATTAAATTTACCTAATTATATAATCAACCCCAATAGCATACTTAGTTAAACAAAGAATTAGATGTTCATCTCCACCCAAATTTTCCAACAATTGAAGACATTAATAAAGATGAAGTTCCCATGACTACAAACACTCCACCTTTTTTTTCTAAAGAGTTTATATATTACTAAGATAAATATGGAGAATCGTACACATAATCTTATGGATGACTACATTTGTAAAAACTCGAAAATGTAAAAAGAAAAAAATATAAAATTTTAAAAGAGTAAAGATTTGAAATTTTTTATTTTGAACCTATTTATATGTGTTTGGAAGTGTTTTAATGCTAGAAAAATGTTACATGTGTTATAGAATGAGCTCAAGGGACTTGAGTAAATTTTAGCAAAGTTTAAAAAATATTACTATTTGAGCGCCACAATGTTAGAAAGTGTTTGAGTGTTGCAGCGCAGCTATAGTAATAGACTCCAAGTAGTGATATTTAAGTGTTACAGTCTCATATTTTTAGGAATTTGAACTAGCGCCATAGTGCTAGGCCATTGTGGGTGTTTTTATATATTTTAAAATTCATTATTTTGTTCATATCCTAAAATACTGAATTGATATTGATATAGAATGGCTAGATATGGTATATACTCTAGCATATGATTTTATTGCATTTTATGTTATTATGATAGTTTTATCAAGAACGTGGTTCTACATTTCAATATTATTTCTTTAGTGATTGAATAGTATTGTTATGATATGATTGATCACTATTTCATTAAATTGATGTCTATAATGGATTACAGGATTACTATTTACTTTATTGCTTATTGTATTGTAATGTTTAATTTCTTTACAAACTTATTGTTGTACTGATTTCCCGATCATATGACTATTATTATTATGAATTGGTTGATGATATGCATACTGTATTTTTATCATGCTTTGAATTCACCTATAGAATTTTAGTGACTTGCTGGCTTGTTGTCTCATTATATGTAGTTTAAATGATTTCAAGTAGGGAAGAGATTTAGGAGTATGAAGTTGTTTAGCTCATTATTATGGTATCATTTATGTAGTTTATCCTATAATTTCTATACTTACGACTCTGTTATGATGCTTATGCTGTATGGTATGCATCTCGGTTTTTATCCCTTGCATTTATTCTATTTTCAGACCACTAATTTAAGTTGTCAATCCGTTGTGTTTAGTATTCTGAATGGTTTTTCTACATGTCCTGTTGATGGTCGCTCTGTCGTTTTCTAACATAGCTCTTTTATGCAAATGTTTGCTCAACTTATATGGGATTCTGATTCTCCCTTCGGACGACAATTTTGAGCTAAATGTTTATTCAGAGCATCTCATTTTTTGGGTGCAGGATGCTGGCTGCGCAAGTCTAGTTTTTATTTTTTTTATTGTAATTTTTCTTAGTAGGGACCACCAGCTCATAAGATTTTTTTGAACTTTTTTTGTAGCTCTTTTGAGCAGTAGAGGATTGGAGGTCTCTTTAAAGACCTTCTACCTTTTTTTTAATTGAATATTAACACTTAGGCCCATGGGTGCGTTTTAACTAACAAAAAAGGATTCCTCACTTTCAACTCCTTTTTATTTTAGTTATTTTGTTTCTACTCAGGAATGAAAGAATTTGTTGTGATTATATAATTCCTGAGTATTGTATATAATTTTTTTGTCAATGAATATAAATATGTATAGATGTTTTGATCAATAGAATTTACTTCCACTATTATATGATTTTATTACTGATAAATGAACTCATATAGCTCTTGTTGTTGTCTAATAAAAAATAAAAGAAATAATTATTCTAAATTAGATTTTGGGTCGTAACAACATTAGCCATAGATCTACATAAAAAAATTATTTATGGCATAACTAAATTGCTGTGGCGCCAATATAAATACAATATCACAAATTAGGGCACTAAATCAACTAAAACGTTATCATTAAATTATAAAATTTAAGGAAAAGATATTTGGTTCAAGCTTATTTGGCCCATTTATCATTGGAATCATATTGTGATTAATCTTAAGAACACTCTCTATTTTATGATAGCCATAATTAGCCCCCTGATTTATTTTTGCAAGCAACATTTTATTTTATTTTATTTTATTTTTTCGAGCAACATGAGATCACAAAAGTTAGTTGATTTTCCCTAAAAAATTTCATATCCAGTAAATTATATAAAGTAAGAAGTAAAATATTGCATGCATATGAAAACAATTCCTTTCACACAACTCTCCTTGGCCTATTGGTTGAGAGCTTAGGCTTCCAACTAAGAGGTCTAAGGTTCGAGTCTATGTGTATGCGTTGTGTGTGTGAGTTTGCCTTAATTGGCCTAAATGTCCAAAAAAAAAAAACAATTCCTTTCCATAATTGGCATGGTTACCCCTCTCATACATTATTCTATATATTTTGTTGTCCTTTTTCTTTTATAAAATATATCCAATCTCTCTTTTAAAATTAAAATGAATTTTATTATTATTTTTTGTTGATTACAAATTTTGGGCAGCTTGGTGGCCTAAACATTGGAGAAATTTATTCAGTTATCTATTTACCCATACTTTTATTTTATATTCATCTTTAATTTATCTATCAGTATATCAACAAATCCTGACACAAACTGTGAAATCACTTAAGTAAAAGAAGCTAAACTCTTAAACATTGAGGTGACTTTTGGTATAATGGTCAAAATTTTATTAATAAACTTTGCAGTTAAGCATGCTCATCCTAGAGAAATCCTAAGATGGATGACCTCTTTGAAAGTTACACCAAAATGATAAAATCGTGAGACCCTTAGGACAAAATAGACAGTATCTCAATATTTAAAAGTTTGGGCTGTTACAAATGGTATTAGAGTAATACACCAACATACATGAAGATGGGAACTAGGTGCTATACAAGATAAAGTGTTACGTCATAGGAGCAACCTTTTGAACTATGTATGAGACAAAGTGCTACGTGGTGGGAGTCACAATTTAAACTTATAGTGGCCATCTTTAAAATCCTATTTGTCTGGTGGGTGATTATAAGATAATAATACTTATGAGGACATCCGTTACTTAAGTGAAGGAAATTATAAAACTCCGTAAGTAGAAGAAGCTAAATTCTTAAAGATTGAGACGCCTTTTCGTGTAATAGCCAGATTTTATATATTAAGAAACTTTGCAGCTAGGCATGCTCATCCTGGAGAAATCCTGTGATAGGTGACCTTCTGGGAAGTTACACCAAAAAGATAAAATCATGAGGCTCTTAAGCTAAAGTGGATAATATTTTGATAGTTAAGAGTTTGAGTTGTTATGCTAATTATCTGTGACACCTCTAGATTCAGCATTCAGTTCAACTTATTTTGATTCAATTTGAAAGAGAAATTACTTGAATCAATTTATTTTGAACTCTTTTTATGTGTATGAAAAAGTTCTGCATATGTTCTAGAATGGGTTCTAGGGGCTTGAATGCATATTAGTGAAATTTAAAATTTCTTTGATTTTTAGAATTAGAACTAGCATCGCAATGCTCAAATAGTGGCGCCTAGCTAGGCGCTAGTCCATTTTCTGCACTTAAATATATTAAATCCCATTATTCAATTCCACTTGCTCATTTTGGCAACCAAAGAAGACAGTGAGGGAGAAGGATTCTGGAGAGAGGAAAAGGGATTGAGGCGTCTTCAGGCCATTTTTAGTCGTCAACCTAATTCTGAAAGTTATTTAGATCAAGGTATGTCATACTATGCCCATCTCAAATTTTAATATATTAATTTGTTATTAAATTTATATCGAAAAATGAGAATAACTTTGCACTAGTAAACTTTCATTCCCTAACTTTTTTAGATGTTATAGAGAGTGAGATTATAAATATTTGAATATTTTCTACACCTAAGGTTTTGAAATATGTAGTTTTTATTGAATAAAATAATCCAAATTTTGAAAAATAAGATTATAGTACAATTAAAGTTTTAAAATAATACTCTATACGATCTCTAATAATATTTTTTTATAAAATTTAATAACAACTATATGATATAATAGAGGTTTATTTATATGATTAGCTTTGATGAAATCACTTGATGCCTATTTTTATTTTCCATCTATAACATATTGAAGTAAACTTAATGCAGAATATTAAACATTTTTTTTCATAATTTTATCAATATTATATTTGCATGGACATAAACTAGTGCCAAACTTAATTGCTTTTTCTAGAAGTTTATAGAGGTTGCACTTTGAGACAAATTTATATTGAACTCCTTTTGAGCAATAATTATCCATTTTTATAGTATTTTAAGTGGGGAGAAAGTGAGATTACTACTAGGGTAAGAGGAAAGAATAAGAGGTGAAGGCTAAATCCCTTATCAATTTTCATCCTTGTGAGGACAAGTTGATGAGTTCGCCTTAATGATTGGAGAAAACTCTGTGTATAGTGAAATGAATTATGCATACGAAAGTTAGTGAAATGCATAACATGATTGATAATGAACCAATCTATTGGCATATGATATGAAATGTGATGGTTAATGATCCAATTGACATGCATCCAGTAGGCAATAATGACAAGTATCGAACAAGCTAATAATATTCATATGACTATGAAATAATATGAATTGAAATGAATGATGCATATATCAATTATTGTGTGGAGTATAGACACGTCAAGAGAGGGATGGATTTGATGATGAGAAGCCCTTTTGAAATTCTTCCAATTCGAAACACAAACACAATATTGTCTTTGTAATGTATAAAGTTAAGTAATGATAACACAAAAATGAAGGTTATGTAGCAATAAAATTAACTAATTATAAACATAATACATATAATATTACTCAATTATATTAGCATATACTAAATGGTCAAAGATGAGCGGGGTTGGTGGTGGCGAGCAATGAGCAGTGAGTAGTGGTTGTGGCGGAGTGCGGTTGGTGGCTGCGAGTGATGAGCAACGAATTGTGGCGGTGGCAGGGAGAGATAGGCAAAGCCACAAAGATTCATATGCAACATGTATATATAATCATCCAAATCAAGTAAATTCCAAATATATAGAAAATAGGCTAAAGTCTGAATTCTTAATACATTAATACTTTTTATATATTATTTTTTCATCCAATTAAACAAATAAATTTTAAAAACACTATTTTTCGTGTGTTAAGACCGTAATCCCCTTCTTATCTTTCGTCAATTATTTTTCATTTATTAAATTTAATTTAGGACAATTTTTTATTATTTTTTAAAACAATTTTTTTTTTAATTTTTTATATTAAAAAATTATTTTAAAAACAGAAAACAATCCCTACCGAGCCTAAATCTATTCCTGTTTTTGACCCGATGTACCAAATCTCACTCGCAACAGTCCATTTCGGCATTTCCTTTTTCTACGGGACCGTTTCCCCAAATCTTTCTATTTCTACAAAGAGTTGCAGCAGCATTCGAGCTTGAAAATTACTTGCAGAAGCCCTCTAAATCCAATTCTTGATCCAGTAATTATTACTTTCTTCTGTTGATTTCCATCGTTTCTATTTGTTCAATCGCTATTTCCTCGGTAAATCTTTTCCTTGTCGATCCCATGTCGTTGTTGAAGTCAAGCTACCGTATCCTTTACTAGTGGGCATTTTTACCATAATGTACTCTATTACTAATTTAATAGCCTTTGCTGTAGGTCTTCGTTTTCGTCTTGTTCGAATGTTATTGGATTTGTACATTAAGCGATGTTACTGGTTCCATTTCACACTTCACGTTGACTGATTGAGATGCTTGCAACCATGGCGGCGCTCGTTCTGTGCTCCATACATGCTTGCATTGAAATCAAGTATGCTTGTGCTGATTGACGGGGTGAAGTCCCTTCCTTGGTGAGAATTTGGTAGCGAGACATGAGAGCTCTGGTGGGTGCTTCTCCTGGTCCTGTGGAGGGCAGGCATAGGCCCGCTGTGAATTTGTGAGTTCTTCGAGTGCAGCCTATTTTAGTTCTTTTGTCATATAAATGCTTTGCCTTTGTATTTGTGAACTATTTCCATCTAGTGTTTACTGTTTATAGACTAAAATATCAACCCTAGGATTCGGTCATGACATTCTTCATTTTTTTTAAAATATTTTAGACTTTTCAGCTACCTGATTCAACATGTGGCATCGAAGAGCTTACTTGTGCATAAAGTTTAGGATTTCTTATAGGAGTTTGCTTTACTTTTATTCTTATTTGTTGTCTTTTTTTCCCATTATGTTTAGTTTTTTGTATTGAAATTTCTTTTTTATGTTTTAAAATAGATATTTCCTTAACATTGTGGATTGTGTCTCAACTAGTTATATTTTTCTTTCTTTATTTAAATTTCCTGGATTATGGTCACTGTACACCATGAAGGTTCTGGTTACTCCATCAACTTCTGATATGCACATGTTCTAGTTACATTTTTTTGTCATTTTTAAATATTGTTTGTTTTTAATTTTCTTTTTGAAGCTCATATTTAATAAATATTTACAGATATTAATAATTTAGTATGGGAAAAATTCATAGTATTTGATTCTAAATCAGTTTATCCCTACTATGTGGAAAAAGCATGCTTTTGCCTATTATATTATGTTGCACAATTTCGTTATTTTACCTCTAGGAATCATGTAATTTCATATAATACTTTAAAGCAGATGAAACTTCATATATGTTGAGCACATGAAATGAATAAAAATAAAATTACACACTTGGTCCCAAAATTCGCTGTGATACCAATTTGTTAGGAAATACTTTGAGAAATCCAAGCAATCCCTAACCATTGAGGAGAAAAACAGCAACGAACGAGAATCAAATGGAAAATTTTAGAAAAAAACAACACCTTGGATTGAAGGAACTCAAATAAATGAAGAAACCAACACAAGATACAATTGATCCTCAATTCGAGAGGATGATCTTCTCTCCAAATCCATGGATGAAATCTAGGGCCCAAGACTCCAAGACAAGAACTCTTCAAAACAATCACAAACATGCATAACCCTAACCTTTAACAACTCTTACTATCTAATCCCTTAATTCAAACTCCTAATTTAGAAATTCCCTCCAACCCTAGCTGCCCCTCTCTTTCTCTCTCCTTAATTTGCTTTCTGGTGGGGTCCAATAGGCTTGGGCGGCATCGGAGGGGCGGTTTGTCCGCCTCCTATATACTAGAGATGAACATAAGAAGTTTGTTACAATAATAACACAAAACTAATGAATGGATTTCCTTAGATTATTAATGATTAAGATAATAATAATTTGATGATAAATTAAGATTCATTATATTTTAGTCTTTGTTATATATATATAGAGGGAGAGAGAATGATCAAATGATCCCTCAATTCTTTGTAAGGTATTAATATAGTCCCCAACTCTTTTGAGGAACATTTGGTTCCTCAACTCTTTAAAATGAGACATTTTTTGTCCTAATATTCAATGTTGGATTTAAATGATGTTAAATGTAAGGGTATTTTGGTCATTTTTAATTAAATATTTATTGAATATAATTTTTCTAAAAAAATTTAGTAAATGTTTTTTTAATAAAAAAATTAATAATTTTAGTTTTAATTTTAAAAATTTTAGTCATATTTTATAAACTACTATTGGTAAATGTGAGAATAACTTTCGTCTCCTTGAAACACACAAAGATAATTGGACTATTTATAGAAGAACACTTAACGTCTAATTTAATCATGTATTTCACCAATCAAAATCATTAAATATACTCTAAATATCATCAACAACGCATATATAAAATATCAATTCATTTGAAGTACATTACATATTGAAATCTTAATTATCATGTCATGCAATTAGAGCCATGCAATGAGAAAATTTTATGCACTGGCTGTATGATCAAATAGTCTTAAGATTTTTATATTCATGGATTCCACCAATTTTAATTATATTTCAGAGAATGAAGTATCTTCTATTTAGCATTATAAGGCATTAATACCAAAACTTATATATGGGGAGAATGATGATTCTGCTTTAAGGAGGAGAAATATCCATTCCCTATGCACACACGCATGAGCACATTAAAATGGATGTATGATTAAATAAATGGTTATAATGAGAAATGTTTATATTAGAGGAATGCTTGTAATACATTCCTGCAGTGAAGAGAGTGCAACAGGTAACTAAGATATTGGGTCTCGCTATGCTAAAAGAACTACTAAGTTAGTGTGTTTTATATAATAAGGATCTCTAACAAATTTTCTTAGCGATTTGATGGCCGAAAGGATTAGCATAAAATAATTCTAACATTTGAAGGATTCATGAGCAGACTCCCATGCAGGTTGTTCTTGGTGTTTTGGTGATGGTTATAGTGCTTCTTGTTAACTGTCCAACTTTTGTGCGACCATATTTTAGTTGGCTGTTTTTTGCTTAATTAGATATGTTATGGAAATGTGTGGCTCTTCTCTTAATTTGATTACATGCCTGTTTTTCTGACCGCCCATACTTTACTCTTTTTGTGTATGAAACTATTAATTATATATATATTTCAAGTTGAAGTTACTAAATGACTAATCTATCTATGTGGACATACCACAGTGATGATGCAACCAAAAGAAGGCACATGAGAAGCCGAGATTTCAACGACGTGAGCAAATTCATAGTATCGTTTCATGAGAAAAGCTTATGCTGCAAGCTCCGCTCACTGAAACCTATCCTGTTGATAATTTTGTGTGGTACATTTTTAACATTTATCTTCGCTCCAGTGGCTTATAATGAGCACTCCCCACATTCATCATCAAGGTATGATTGTATAATCAAGGAAAATATCATTGGCAATATGCTTTCATTATTTTACAATATTATCACATTTATTAATCCTAAGGAACACTGGTTAGGTTGACCTGTTTTGATTTGGGAAGTCATAGGTTCTAGAAAGATCCTCTTCATTTTGCAGGCTAGGCTACTTGCATTAACCTTTATAGTATGGGTGTAAAATGGGCTATTGACCAGCTAAGCAAGCTCTCTAAATCCCATCATTTATATGGGCTAGTATAGACTTATAATGGGCTTTGGTGGGTTACCTATTAAGTCTTGTTGCATGTAGGAAATCAAAGTCCAGAGAATGAGGATCGATGTGGATTTTGTTAGCCTTTTTTTCTACTCATACACAAAAACATTCATGTAGAGAATGTGAAACTAGAGTTTTTGTGCAGAATACTTTAGGAGAGGACAAAATTACGGGATTAGCCCAGTTATAAAGCTTTCATTTTTTATTGGAAATCTATACAAGAGTAGGCAAATTTCATGCAATTGGGATGCGAAGGAAATTAGAAAAAGATAGATGCTAACGGCATCAAGATAGGTCCTCGTGCGTGGGTGATAGATGTTGTAGAAGTGTGCAATGATACGGTTTGTGGTGAAAGTCTCGAGTGTTGTAAAATACTTGTTGAGAGTTGTGGCACTGGGCTTGTTGGACATAAGACTATAATATAGGTTATGTTGTGATGTTAGCCTTGCTACCATACAAGCTTTTGTTGTGGTGTAGGTCTTGTTGTAGTTAGAGGTGCCATTAAATGACCCAACCCGGACTTGAACCCAACAATTTCAGGCTCGTGTTGACCAGTTTAACAAATAGGTCGGATTTGAGTATGAAATCCTGCCAGTTTAGTTGACGGGTCGGGTTCAGGTCGACCCGCGAAACTGATTTTGACCTGAAAGTTTAATTTTTTTATTTAAAATATTTTGCTTGTTGATATGAGTTTCTTATTTTTGATCAATTAACCTAAACTCTATAGTTGACAAGTTACAATTTTTTTCTTTTTTTAATTTCAATTAAAAGGACTTATCATGTTAGGTTTGGGTCATCCGGGTTGCCAACAGGTTGGACTTGGGTTCACCTTTTTGTCCCGTTTATTAAATGGATCAAATTTGGATTAACTGAATTTAGATCGAGTCAATTTCAAGTCAAACCCAAACCCAACTCACTAACCTGGTTTGACACCCATAGTTTTAGTAGTGGTCTTTTTGTGGTGTTTGTCTTTTTGCAACATAGGTCTTGTTGTGGCTCAATTCTTACTTCAATGTTGAACTTGCTACTACATAGATCTTCTTATGATGCTTCAAGGAATGGACATTCTTTAAACATTAATGTGAACATCCTTTAGGGATATGAATCAAGTTATTTACCCTTGTCTTTCTTATACGAAGATGAACTTTGTGGTTGCAATTTTTGGTGAAAGCTTCTCCTAAAAATTAGATTGTAAAATATTAGTGGTGCTTGAAACACATCAAGGAGAGGATGTTGAGTCTTGATATTATAATAAATAGAGATGTAATGTCCTAAATGGCTATGGGTTGTTAAAACCTATTAGAAGTAATAAAAGGGATTTTTCCCCTTATCTCTATTTTAATCATAGGAAATTATTCTTATTATTTTATTTCAAAAGATCGTAAAGCTTTGACCTTGCTTGATTTTTTTTCTTTTAGATCGCTTCATAGTTTTTGTCTTTATTTTTGAAAAAAAAAATCCATAAATAAGAATTTTTTATATGTTATAATTTCGAAGGAGAAGGGGAAAGGGTGAGAAATATAAATATATCTATTTATATGTGGAACTATAATTTGGCTTTTGCTCTCAATGGTGATTGGGGATTACAACAAACAAAACCTGTTAACGGCCTTAATTAAATGATTTGGTTTGGGATGTAGGTTGATCCTAAACCTGAAGAGAGAAGATCTTTTCCCATTTTTAAGTAGATATAATTTAGATCAAAGTTCACACCAAACAAAATCTATTAGTTTTTGTGCTTGATTTGGGTTTGGAGGTCAATTAGGTGGGAAACATGGGCATGTCTGATTTATTTGACGATATGTAGATCAAGGATACACAAGAAAGAAAGCAGAAAGTGAGCGAACAAGTTGCTTTGGAAGCTTTTCCTATAAAAGCAGCAATTTTTGCTTCTCTTGTATACTTTGTTAGAGAGAAGAATGAAAGATCCTTATATAACAACTGAGGGATATATATATATATTATATATCATATATATATATATATATATACTATATATATAGTATATAAAGCAGAAGTGACGAACAAGGCTTTGGAAGCTTTCCTTATAAAAAGCAGTGAATTTTTGCCTTCTCTTCGTATACTTGTTAGAAGAAGAATGAAAGATCCTTCTTATAAACAACCTGAGGGGATATATATATATAATATATATATAATATATTATATATATTATATATATATATATATATATAATATATATTATATATATATATATTATTCTTTCCAAAGACTATGTTCTCAAAGAATACTTCATGTTAAATTGTTTACATATCATGAAATAGGGATATAAATTCTTCTTTTAATGAGATCGTTATGAGATCTTTATCTAGGATTTTAGGATGTAATGCCACCTCATTTAACTTATCTTCCTTCTTAGTTTTGACATGCTTACTTGTCAAGCCCTACCTCCTTATAATATCCTCTTTTTATTTTTGGATTGTCCTTCAAGATGCTTGAAAAGTTTGAATTACCTAAGCGTTTCACATGCCCTTTTAACCTCAGTCTTATACTGCTTATGACTCTACTTTTTATCCTCGTTTGTGTCGGTTGAGCTTCCTCTGGACTAATGGAGGTTGTGAATTGAGCCGTTGCAATTACTATGGGGGTGCTACTCACGCTGTTTAGGTTGGTTGTGCTCTGTTGAAGCTAAAGGAGGTAGTCAAGTTATTTGACATAGCGAGCTCTTTAGTTTACCTATATTATTGGGTCTTGTGTTTCGTGCTTCTCATTGCCAAACTTAACTTAGCTAACTCAATCACCTGAGAAATTTTGCCTATTGTTCAACTCAAATTGTTCTCAAGACGGATGAGTTGTGACTACATTGCCCCTTATATTTCAAACCATTTTTGGTTTAAAAAAAAAACAACACAAAATACATCAAGCCTTATCCCCACTACGTTGCGGGTCGCACATGAATCTTTCTTCTCCATTGTCTCTTATAAAAGTCAAATATTCTCGTGTTAAATCTAATAAAAAAGCAGTCCTAAATTTTCCTAACCAATTTTTTTAGGTCTACCCCTACCTTTCTTAACATAAGTCAAATCTAATACCTCTACTCTCCTAACCGGTTCATCGGAAGGCCGTCCGTTTTATGTGACCAAACCATCTAGGCGACTTTCTCTAAATCTTACTTCTAACTGTAGTACTCCACCTCACGCATATGGCTCATCTTCATATCCTATCTCTAAAGGGTAAATCCACTCATCCACCTGAGCATCCTCATCTCTGCCACACTTTAACTTGTATTATGCTTCTCTTTAATGGCCAACATTCGGCACCATTAAAGGCATTGCAAGCCTCAACTACCATTCTTATAAGAATTTTCCTTAAGTTTGAGGGGATACATTTTCTATCACATAGCAAGCCCGATGCATTCCTTCCACTTCAACCATCCAACTTTGAATTAATGCTGATAATAATCTCCAATCTATGTCACCATCACTCTGACAATGATCCAAGATATCTAAAACGTGGTACTCTTATTAATGACTTGATCGCCCCAAAATCACAATCCCCTCACCAGTCTAGTTACTACTAAAAATTACACACATATATTCTGTTTTTAGAGTCTACTCAAGCGACAAAAACCTTTAGGACTCGACCTCCATAATCAATGTTACCTTCAAACTCCCTCTCTAGTTCTTATCAACAGAAGAAATCATCAGCAAAACATACACCAAGGTCTCTCTTGCAAATGTCTAGTTAGAACACCATTGACCTAAAGCAAAAAGATATGGCTTTAAGGCTGATCTTGAGTAACCCAACCTGAAATTAGGGAAATACTTGGTCAAAACCACCCTGGTTGACACAAAGTAATAGCTCCTGCAACATATCTTTAATGATTTGAATATAAGCATTATTGACTCCTTTCTTTTCAAGAACTCTCCATAACTTCTCCTTGAAAATTTTTATCATATTTTTTCAAATCAATAAATATTATATGTATCCTCCTTATTTACTCTATATTCTCCATCAAACCTCTTAATAAATGTATGCTTTTTTCCATTAGATCGACCCTTACCGGCATGAATCCAAATTGATTTTGAGAACATTAGTATCACGCCGCAACCTATGCTCCATAACTCGCTCCCATAGTTTTAAAGTATGACACATTAACTTAATACCTCTATAATTCGCACCAATCTTGTGCATTACCTTTATTCTTAAAAATAGGAATTAAACACACTCATTCTCCACTCATCTGGCATCTTTTTATCTTCAAAATAATATTAAAAAGTTTTAGTAAGCCAAGAAATTCTTCTCATCTCCTAAGCATTTCCACACATCTATTGGAATATCATAGGTCCAACAGGCTTTTCCACCCTTACATTTCTTTAAAGCCTCTCTAAACTTTCAGTTTTACTAATACGCCAATAAAACAGAAATCTTTTTTTATTAGGCATTGCTAAGCGTCACTTATATCAATCTTATTTTCACCAATCTTCATTAAAAAGTTTAGCAAATATCTCATCCACCTTTGTTGAATATCATCTTCTAAGAAAAGTATTTTTTGATCTTCATCCTTAATACACTTCACTTGAACTAAATCCTTACTACTCCTATCTTTTTGTTTGGCTAACTTATACATATATCTTTCTCCCTCTTTAGTATCTAATCTATTATATAAATCACTAAAAGCTAATGTCTTTGCATTGCATATTGCTTTCTTAGAATCCTTACGAGCCACTTTATATATTTCCCAATTATCAGAATTTTTAAAATTAAACCAATT